ACGGTGGCCGCCCTTCCAGGAGAAGCAGAGCCAGGAGCTGAGCCAGTACGGAGCGGTGAGGCCGCCCCCCAGGCCCCACGCTGCTCAGGGAGGTGGGACGGTGAAGGAGCCCGGCTCAGGGACTGCCTGTGCGGTGTGCACGCAGCGTAGGCAGCAGTGAGGCCGAGGCTCTGGGAGGGAGGTGGGCGGCAGGAGGAGACGCTGAGGGAGCGGACTGGGCACTCACAGTGGTGGCCGGGCCTGGACGGTCCCTCTTCTCTTCCCAGATGGGGACCGGACAGTCTTTTAACAGCCAGTTCCTGCAGCACGGAGGCCCCCGGGGGCCCAGCGTTCCCAGCAGCATGAACCCCGCCAGCGTGGGAGGGCTGATGGGCCCCTCTGGCATGAGCCCCCTGGGCATGACCCCCACCCGGGCGGTGGGCATGGCGCCCCTGTATGCAGGGCAGCGCCTGCCCCAGCACGGGTACCCAGGGGCTCTCCAGGCCCAGCCGCTGCCCCGACAAGGAGTCAAGAGAGCCTACTCCAGTGAGGTGCGGCCGGACGTCCATGTGAGAGGCCTGGCTGGGCACTGCTGTCCCTCCCTGGGAACTGGCCTCCCTGACCCGCTCCTCCCTGGGCATTTGCCTCTCCTCCTGCAGGTGTATCCAGGGCAGCAGTACCTGCCGGGAGGCCAGTACTCACCCAGCACCACCCAGTATGCCCCAGGGCAGCCCCCTGCCCCCTCTTCCTTCCCTGGCCACAGGCTGCCCCTGCCCACCTCCGGCCCCCCAGGACTGCACTACAAGGTAGGCCAGGTCCTCTGGGCCTGCAGCACCCCCTGCCGACCCTGGAGGGACACAGACATCTGGGGGGGCTGGGGAGGTGACTGCGCAGCCAGGAGCTTCCTGGCCCTGAGAGTGCAGGGCAGCCCTCAGGGGGCCCAGCTCTGTGGGGACCCGGCACAGCCTCGGTGGCACCCACGGAGACCCTCTGTGGGGTCAGCTGTCTCTAGTGGCAGTTTTTAAACAATGAAATCAGTTCGTGCTCCCTGTAGATTATTTGAAAACAAAGTGTGTGAAAAAGAAAATGCAGGGCCTGTGTGTGCGGTGGGCTCCCTGCCCCCAGCGCTCTTGGGTCTGGTTGGGGGCTGGCCAGGGGCCAGGCTGCCGCCCCAGACCCACATGGTGTCTCTCCTCAGCCCACAGAGCAGTTCAACGGGCAAGGCGCCAGCTTCAGCGCAGGGAGCATCGGCTACGGCCAGCCGGGCCTGAGTGGGGTACGGACGGGCGGGAGGCTCCCAGGGTGGGTGCGAGGAGAGGGCACGTAGGTACCCCTGGCTTCCCGGGCTGTTCCCAGTGGGTGCTCAGGAACACGGCAGCGCCCTCATTCTGCCTTGACTGTCTGCTCTATCCCACAGCCCACCCGTTCCGTCCCTGGCTACCCCAGCTCCCCACTGCCAGGGAGCCCCACGCCACCCATGACCCCCGGCAGCAGCGTCCCCTACCTGTCCACCAGCCAGGACGTGAAGTCCCCCTTCCTGCCTGACCTCAAGCCCAGCGTGAGCTCCTTGCACCCGTCACCCCCTGGTGAGTGTCGCCTGGTCCTGGGACAGGGAAGGGCAGGGCCCCTGCAGGTCGCCCCTCCTGGCTCAGAGCCCTGTGGTTGGTCCTAAAACCTCATGGAGCACAAGGGTGCTGAATGGCAGGTGGCTCATCGACACCCTCAGCCCCACCCGCTGGCAGCACCGGGAGCGTCTGGGCAGCGTGCTCTCGGCATCATTGAGGGGATGATGTGCCGGCAGCTGAGGGAGGGCGGAACCGGGGGACCATCCTGCCACCGTCGGGTGACCTGCAGCTCGGGTTCCAGGAGATACCACTCAGGCCCCACCAGTGGAGGGGGTGGGCTGCAGTCCCCTCGCCTGTCCGTGCTGCCGTGGGGGTGGAGGCGGGCGGCCCAGGGCCTCTGCGAGCTGCTGGGGGGGAGCCTGCTGACGGCCCTCGGCCCCCAGGCAGCAGCCCCTGCGACGAGCTGCGGCTGACCTTCCCCGTGCGGGACGGCGTGGTCCTGGAGCCCTTCCGCCTGCAGCACAACCTGGCCGTGAGCAACCACGCCTTCCAGCTGCGCGACTCCGTCTACAAGACCCTGATGCTGAGGTGAGCGGCGCCCGGCCCTGCGGCCCCGGCGCCTGCGCCCCCCTCTCAGCGCCGTCCTCCCCGCAGGCCTGACCTGGAGCTGCAGTTCAAGTGCTACCACCACGAGGACCGGCAGATGAACACCAACTGGCCGGCCTCGGTGCAGGTCAGCGTCAACGCCACGCCCCTCACCATCGAGCGCGGCGACAACAAGACCTCCCACAAGCCCCTGTACCTGAAGCACGTGTGCCAGCCCGGCCGCAACACCATCCAGATCACCGTCACGGCCTGCTGCTGCGTGAGTGCGGCGCCGCCCGGGGGCCAGTCCTGTCTGCCCTCTGACCCTCGCAGAAGAGGCCTGTGGAACCCACCCTTGTGGCTCCTGGTCAGGCCCCAGCACACAGTGGGCACTCACATCGCGGTGCAGGCGGCTGAGCTGGGGCTTTCGGGGCCCCACGTGGTGGTGCTGAGAGGGGTTAGAACCGGGAGCCTGGCCACAGCCTCTGACACGCACCCCTGACCCACCTGCCTTGCAGTCCCACCTGTTCGTGCTGCAGCTGGTGCACCGCCCGGCCGTCCGCTCCGTGCTGCAGGGCCTCCTCAAGAAGCGGCTGCTGCCCGCCGAGCACTGCATCACCAAGAGTGAGTGGCCACCCACCCTGCCCGGCTTGGCCCTGGCAGAGGCTGTCTCCCTGGGCGGGGCTCTGGGCAGGGCCGGGGTCTGCTCCTCAGCCCTGGGAGGTGCCTCGTCCTGGCCGCAGCCCTGTCCTCAGCCCTCTCCCTGTCGCCGCCAGTAAAGCGGAACTTCAGCAGCGGCACCATCCCCGGCACCCCTGGGCCCAACGGAGAGGACGGGGTGGAGCAGACGGCCATCAAGGTGTCCCTCAAGTGCCCCATCACCTTCCGCCGGATCCAGCTCCCCGCCCGCGGCCACGACTGTCGCCACATTCAGGTGGGGTCACCGCAGTCTCTCTGGCAGCCGAGACTCGGCACCTGGGCCAGCAGGTGGCCTGGTTTCCCATGCCCTTGGGCTGGGCTTCCTTAAGGACTAAGCGTAGTAACCTTACTGCGCTCGCGGAAGGGGGGGTGTGCAGGTGCAGTCCCTCCTAAGACCCAGGAGCCCCACAGGTTCTCCACAGAAACGGAGCGAGTGCCCTGCCCAGCATAAGACATGCACACCCTGTGCCCTTGCTGTAGGCAGCACCTCGGGCACAGTTGCAGCTCTGGCTTTGCCCCGTGGCATCTGGCCCAGTGGGGCCATGTGGCTGCCCCCAGTCTCAGCCCGTTAGACGCCGGGGTCGTGAAAACCTGGTGCCCGGGCTTCCCAGACACACAGGAAATGGGCTGGGCTGCCCTGTGTGAGACGTCTTCTCTCCTCAGTGCTTCGACCTGGAGTCCTACCTGCAGCTCAACTGTGAGCGGGGGACCTGGCGGTGCCCCGTGTGCAAGTAAGTCCCAGACCAGGCCTCGGCGCTGCTGGGAAAGGACGCTTCTCCGGGGATGCGTACTGGGGTCCCAGCACAGCCTCCACAGGCGTGGCCAACTCAGGGGAGACCTCATGCAGGGTCACCCCACACGGGCGGCCTCCAGGGAAGGATGGAGCTGAGAAAGGACAGGCCTGGGCCCAGGGCGAGGCTGGTCAGGCCTCTGAGCTGCGTCCTGTTTGCTTTCTGCAGCAAGACGGCCCTGCTGGAGGGCTTGGAGGTGGACCAGTACATGCTGGGCATCCTCATCTACATTCAGAAGTGAGTTCCCTGTGGCCTCCGGCCTCTGGCTAGCAGAGGGCAGCCCCTGGGATGGGGGGTGGGGGGGCGGGCCTTGCTGATCCCCCACGGAGCGCACTCTGCACTCCCCTGGGGCCACGTTGGGGCCAAGGAATCGGCCTCGGACCAGGCAGGCAGCCCCAGGGCACATGGAATGTGCACTTGAGTGGAAGGTCTGGGCCAGGAGGGCAGCGGCTGGGTGGTGACTGCCCGTGTCCCGCCAGCTCTGACTACGAGGAGATCACCATCGACCCCACGTGCAGCTGGAAGCCGGTGCCTGTGAAGCCGGACGTGCACATCAAGGAGGAGCCAGACGGGCCGGTGCTGAAGCGCTGCCGCACCGTGAGCCCCGCCCACGCGCTGCTGCCCAACGTGATGGAGATGATCGCGGCCCTGGGCCCAGGGGCAGCCCCCCTCGCCCCCCTGCCGCCCCCCTCGGCCCCGGCCCCCAGCGACTACCCCAGCCAGGGTGAGTGCAGCACTTGGCGGCCTGCAGACAGGTGACCCTGAGCAAATGGCCATGCTCTCAGCTCCCGTGAGGTGCTGCTCTGTGGCCACGCTTGGGCAGGGCTGGTCGTGGACATGGCGTGTGGGTGTGGCCTCCACCAGGGGAGTGGGCAGCAGGGTCTCCAGTGGAAGCTGCACCCCCGCTCCCAGCAGTTGCAACAAGGGGCTGTCTGCCCGCACATCCGGGCCTGGCCCCACTGACACCCTGGCTCTCCTCTCTCAGGCTCCAGCTTCCTGGGACCCGGGACCTTCCCCGACTCCTTCCCGTCCACCACACCCAGCACGCCGACCCTTCCCGAGTTCACCCCAGGGCCGCCCCCCGCCTCCTACCAATCGGACATTCCCAGCAGCCTCCTGACTCCGGAGAAGTCCACGTCCAGCCTCCCAGGCCAGGTCAGTGCTGGGTGGAGAGGCCGCGGCTGCCTCCTGAGGGAGCCCTGGCCCTTTCTCCAGGTCCTCCTCTCCTTCCTCAGATGGCGCCTGCAGGTCACCTGGATCCGGTTCACACCCTTGGGCCAGCCGCACTGCACACCCCTAACCTGGGAGGCCCCCCAGGCCCCCAGCTGCACCACCCCAACCCTCCCCCAGCGACCCGGCAGCCCCTGGGCCCAGGGAGCGGGGGCCCCGTCGGAGAGCTGGCCTTCCACGCTGCCACAGGCGTAGTGGGGCCCCCCATGTCTGGGGCGGGGGAGGCCCCAGAACCTTCAGCCGTGGACGTGAGTACGGTGCTGCTGCTGGGGAGTGGGGAGCCTGGCTGGGAGCTAGTAAAAGAAACTCATTCAAGTTCAGCATGAAAAAAACGAGAGCAGCTCAAAGCAGAAAATCCTGGGGACTGGGGTGCCCTCGCCATCCGTGTGCTCCCCGGAGCCGGGAGCCTCCACACGTGTTGGCCTCGGGCAGCGTGTCACTGATTCTTCCGCACAGACGGTGCCGGGGAGGGGTCCCCACATCCCGCCTCCCGACCGGGCTGGGTTGCGGGGACAGGGCAGGTGCGCAGGGTGAGCGGGCCTGAGGCCAGTTTGCTTTTGTCCTCAGCTGCTCCCGGAACTGACCAACCCGGATGAGCTGCTGTCCTACCTGGGCCCTCCCGAACTTACCAACCAACAAGCAACGAAA